CTCTCTGTCTCTCTTTCCATCTCTTTGTTTGTATGTTTGAGCCTGACAGTAACAGCGTATTTTGTTTCTGTACTTGGTCCGAGTTTGGTCCTACCTATTAACTACTACAAACTTCTGAGATGTTATTGGTCCTGCCCATTTACAGTTACTAGCCTTTTTGTTGGATTTGACCCAGCGATCGAAATATGTTTGTTTGTTAGATTCTGGTGTTACAAATTAAACTATTACTAAACTCAAACCCTAAATTGAACAAGATCAAGAATGATGATTTTCCCTTGTAGGCTAAAAAATTAGCACAAAATTATTACAGAGCTTCCTCTTGCTTCTCTGATAATAAGATATAACACAGGTTTTTGGTGGTAGCAAATGCAATAGCTGCAGCTTACTCTTTGGTACAAGGACTAAGATGTGTGGAAAACATGGTGAGAGGGACTGTGCTCTTCAGCAAGCCTTTAGCTTGGATCATTTTCTCTGGCGATCAGGTAAATTATATAGACCTGGGAAATTCCCTTTGTAAATCCAAACTTTTTAACCCTTTTTGCTATTTTCACTGAATAAACTTGATGACCATTTTACACAGGAATAATGTTCTTTGTATGCTTTTGCTTGTTGCTTATCTCTTCTGCTGCGAGTAATCTTTGATTCTGACCATGATTTAATCGATTCATGACTTGGATTGTTATTGACTAAAGATTCCATTATCATGGACTAAGGGGAATATCTCTTATATGGCTATAACCTGAATAAATGCAAGTTTCCAGTAAACTTTGGTTCTACCAACCTCTGTTCTATGATATCTTGCCATTTGTCCATACATTTTTACGTGTTGTCGTTTAGTTTTGGTTAAATCACAAGTTTTTTACTCCATAGATTTCAACCATAGTTTAAATTACTCTAGTCCTGATACTTCCAGAAGTTTTATTATTGCCCCTTTGCGGTTAAAACTTGTAGAAAGTCCTTTTTAGTTAAATTATCATGAATTATTTGTGGTCAACTCCAAACAGAGTAAAAAAAATTCGTGCACATCATGGTGGCACTTCCAAACAAGATTAGTTCTGGTCTTAAAATTTGCTTTTCAATGAAAATAATATCTTAAAACTCGTCCATATACTTGTTTATCGACCAATATAACTTTCTGTTTATAAATTATATGAGCTAATAAACTTGAGCTAGTTGAACAAGTTAGTAACAAGTCTACGGAAGGTTACTCCATAAGTTAGTAACTTGTTCTACTAAGTCTACTAATCATTCTACTAAAGTTACTATATAAGTTAGTAACTTGTTCAACTAGCTCACAATCTCCTCCGCAAACTTGATTTTGTTCGAGATTCTTCACTCCCAACAATTCTCCCATCCCTGCAAACATAACCCTTGCTAGGGCCTTGGTTAGATTATCTGCACGTTGCTCTCTAGTGCATACAAATTCCACAATGATATGATATTGTCCACTTTGAGCATAAGCTTATTCCAAGAGTTCTTAAGAATATAAGGATGAGTAACGTTCCAGTTTGACAAGTAAAGGTACTTGTGCAGATCATGGCATATGTCACGGTGGCAGCAGTGGCATCGGCCGCCCAATCAGCAGTGATTGGGAAGTTGGGGCAGCCGGAGTTGCAGTGGATGAAGATATGCGATCTGTACAAAAAGTTCTGCAACCAAGTTGGGGAAGGACTTGCAAGCGCGGTGGTGGTTAGTCTGAGCATGGTGGCGCTGTCTTGCATTTCAGCTTTCAGTCTCTTCCGCCTTTACAATGGTGGCAAGAGCAAGAATAACCCAAGATGGTAGGCTTTTCAAGTTCATCAATAATCATCAGACCTCCATATCCTGATCCTGATGGACACTCCATGTTTCTGCTAGGAAATGTTAGGATTTTCTGTGATTCTGGTTAAAGGAAATGTATGTTTAGGTACTTGTTTCTCTTAAAAAAACTATGGTGCATCGTTCAGAAATAAAGTTATAAGTTGAGGATAAACTTCTATTTGTGACAATTTGATTCGTATAGCTCAAGCTGATAATCTGGCTCAAAATTGGGTATTCTTCATTTATCATATTTGTTAGGTTAGGAATTTAGATCCATAATACACTATTGAAGGTTCTTTATGGATATAAAGATCTTTGAGACGTTAATTCCCCACTCCCTCTCTTGAATTTTGTGTTCTTCAATAATCAATAATCAAGATTCTTGGGAAATAAAAAAACGTTTACATACTGGTTGCTGAGAGGATGTTGAGGGATGTGCAGGCTTTGGGAATAAGAACGACCAAGTGAGAATCTTCATCCGGGATGTGGCGAAAGAAATCGGAAAGTTGAATCTCGAAACCGTAATCGGCATTGGTGTTGGCGTTGGCATCGGCATTGGGACCTCCCTTTTAAGTAGATAGTTCTCAACAATTTTTTCCTCGAACAAAATATACCAAAGAGCTTCTATTGAAGGCTCTCTAGAACTCTCGAACAATTGGTAGTACATCTTTTGTTACACTAAAAAAGTAGTACACCCACAACACTTCAGAATTCTATTGGGATGACTAAGTCAATGACGTATCTTTACTTTTAGTTTCTTGGTTACAAAATACGTATATTTACATCTTTTGTTACACTCAAAGATAGTGTTTCTTGGTTATAAACTCATGATCTTCCTCTAAATTAGCCAATGTAGGACTAGTCGTCTTAATAATCCTAAACACAAACTTTTAGAGGGAGATCTAGTGGAACAATGTGAGCATGGTGGCTCAAGAACTGGAAGATCAACAACAATGGAAACACTAAAATCGTCTTTAATTTATTCAAATTAAACAAATCTAGTCAAACAAACTTACATTAGAGTAACTATAGAGAAAATTCTGGATGGTTTGAATGTTCTTGCTTCAATTCAAACAAGGTCGAGTATTCTCTACAGAGTCTTCTTTACTGTGACTCAAATACAACACCAAAGGTTTATATGAGTCTCGCCAAAGAAATCCACGAGGGACTGAGAGAGAATATGTATAGAATGACCCACAAGGGACTGAGTTTAGAATCAAGTATATTTTACATGATCAATCTTTTTTGTGGAGTTATTAAAATCTCAAATAAAGTGATGTTTCCTTGAGATATTCGATAAACAAGGTAATCCGAATCTTATTTCTTATTGTAGTGATTTTTTATCATTTGGTATCTGAGGTTTAAGCTCAAGTTGGGTTTCTTTTCAATTTGATTTTTATTTATTTTTATTTTTTTAGTTTTTAATTAACCCAAAGGAATCCGAATCTTACTTTTCCTTAGGGTGATTCCTTATCAAGGTCAGTATAAAAATACTTAATATGCAACCGCTCTCTTCATATCCTTAGTAGATATCTACGACATTTACTTAGGCTTTAAGAAATTTGTGTCTAGTCTCTACTCCTATTGGATCATCTAGGATACCTCTAAATTCTAGGAACAACCAACATGAAAGTCTATCTTTAAGACTCATTTACAGAATTGGAGTGTCAACCTTGATCTATTTTTACACACAATAGAAACATTCGCCTCGAAATGACTATCTATATAGCCTCAAATCTCTCTTCGAGACCAGTCTACGAAATCACGACGTCTACCTTGGTCCATTTCAACATATAATAAAAACACTCACCTTGAAATAACTATTTGTGTAGTCCTAAATCTCTCTTCGAGGCCAATTTAACAAGTCAGTAACTTCAACCTTGATCCATTTCTAGACACAGTAGAGAAGCCCTCACCTTAAAGTAACGATCGGTATAATCCCAACCCTCTCTTTGAGACTGGTTTATAGAGTTCCGACATCAGCCTTGATTCATTTCTACACACAATAGAGGAGTTAGCTATCACTAGAAACGTTTCTACCATTTCTACACTCTCTATGGTGCTCAATCCACTAGAAACGTATTGACCTAGGTCAACTCAAAGACCGCTCTAGCTCTAGCGCCCTAAATTTAGCTTGGTTCAAGCATACTTTATTAAGGAGATATTCTTATCGATCACCTTAAGCACTGGGAACGTATGAAAAACCTTCTTACACACTTATTAGAGAGATATTTCTATCAAACGCCGAAACACGTAATTCATAACTTAGAAACATACAAGTAAACTCAACGGGGAGACAACATCCATCAATCACCCTGGAGCACAGATCATAATATTTCATCCTCCACTCTACCACAACGGATATTAAAATAACCATGCAACTTAAATTTTCATCCAAGGGGCATTTTCATAATTTTTCATAAAGTACAATGTTTCACAAAGTTCATGTGACTACTTATTGGGATGAAGCATGCGTCTTTCAGCTTACTTTTTCACTTGTTGGAAGCTCCAAATTTTCCGGTCCTATTTCAAGTAATTATAGTTAGTATTAAAATTGGGATGAAAAATAGTCGAATAGAGGTCTAATGGGTAAAAAGTGGCACTCATGTGTCAGAAGGGCTCCCCACGTGCGCAACTATGCGTGCATACAAACGTGCCCAAGAGGAGGAGATGCGTGCTCCCTGCGTGACCGTGGTGCATGTGGATACATGCCTCCTGGTCAGAACAGATAAAGGGGGTGAATCAGGTTGCGGATGCTGAGTCGAGCCTCAAGTTGGATCCAGACAATGCTTCACCACCAGATGTCAGACATGTTGGTCTACTCAGAATGTGACATGTATTCAACTAGTGGGTGAAAAGTTCGAACTTGGAAGGAAAGATCGAAAAATTAATCATAGTTGGAATTGAGGTGTTATAAGTAGGGATGTTTTAAGAAAGGATAATATAGTAATTTCATACCCTTTGTCTTATAAAATAAAAAATCATACCGCTCAAAACTTTGGAGATAATTTATGATGTGTAAATAGACATTTTTCGTTCATATATTGACATAAATAAAATTTTTTAAACTTTTTTTTTTATAAAATAGCGGCGTTAATATTATTTTTAAAATAAATATATTTTTAAAATTCTAATTATATATTTTTTTAAAAAAAAGTTGAAAACTATTAATTTATTTTTCCTAATTTTGGCAAATTCCCAATATTTTTTAAGGTGAAAGAATCAAAATTGGTTTCCACATGGAGAGCGTTCAAAATAATTCAGGTGTAAAACTATAAAGATTCTCCACCAATTCTGGAGCTCTCCGTTGCCATCGCAGATCCTCGTCGTGGACCGATTCCGACCGCCGTCACTCTGTTTCACGCAATTCCTCTCTTTGTTCCGTTTTGCCGTTTCTCCTCATCGCCGGCGCCGGGACCCTGCTCTGCCCTTCAATACCCTCTCATTACAGCCCCATCATCCGCCGTTCTCCGACACGTCCATATCCGCCGTCTTTTCTCTTTCCTATATTTTCCCCTAAAACCCTTCTCCTGTCGCTCTGCTTGGGATCATTTCTATTAGCTTCCAGTGATTAGGCCGTTCCCAGTTTCTGGTAAGGTCACCGGTTCTGACTCTGACTGATCGGCTTCAGTTTGTTCTTATCTCTATCCTTCTCTTTCAGGGTTTTGCGTGCCTTGGAACCCTAATTCATTTCGGGAAGTTTCCTTGGAGTTCTGATTCTTCTTTCTTTTTTGTGTGGCTGTTTTTATTGGGTTCTGTTTTATTCCTTTTGTTAGTTCTTGATTTGGAATTGGGCAAGTAGGAGATGTCTGAGAAATTCTCGGCAACATTGAGGATAGGCGATCTGAATGATTTCATAGCGCCTTCTCAGGCTTGCGTTGTTTCTCTCAAGGGGCTTAAAGCCACGACCACGAAGCCGGATAGAGTTGAGGTACTTTTTCCATTTGATGTACCTGTCGTTGATGATTTTTGTGCGGTTGGTTTTGAGTAATCTGTAGGAATTACCACGCTTAAAAACTGAGTGGTTCTTTCATAAATTTTCCATTTATTGATTCTCTTTACTTTTTTGCGTGTGTTTCTCCCCTTCATTTCTGCGTATAATATCTAGGTTTCGGCTTCTAAGAAGCAATTGAAAGCAGAGCCAGTTAAAATTTCACTGAAGGATTGCTTAGCATGCAGGTAATTTTTACTAAAACAATCGCTGTTGTGAACTATTTTCTCAAGGATCTAACTGGTTTGATGGTTTAAACTTTAAACTGGGTTTTCAATTTGATTTAAGTTGCTTTTACTCTTATGTATCTGGATAAAATGGAATTTCTGGAACCTTTTGAATACAAGGTGATACTTTGACATTTCTGATAAACCACTTATCAGATTATTTATGAAAACTGAGTTTTGGAACTCCCTGATTTCATAGTATTGAGTTGGAATATCTAATTGAATATGGATTATTGCTCTTTAATTTGCCTTGTACTTCTCATCTTTCCCTCGTGACGGTGTGTAATAGACCTAATTATGCATAATTGTAGTGGTTGTGTAACATCAGCAGAGACAGTGATGCTGGAGAAGCAAAGTTTGGATGAATTTCTTTCCAACATGGATAATGGAAAGGTTGTAATTGTCTCATTATCTCCCCAATCTAGAGCCTCACTCGCTGTACATTTTGGTATCTCCCCTCTAAAGGTAAAATTTGAGTTTTCTGCTTATATCATTTCCCATGATTATCATGAGTTTTATTCGTTGGCAAGGGTCATGAGGAAAATCTTTTAACGTGATTGGGTGGTGAATTTTAAAGTTGTATTTATGTCATTACAATGCTCGAAATGCTTATATCTATGAAGGCAATAACTACATACAGTGTTTTGCATTGGTCAGGTTTTTAAGAAACTCACGACATTTTTGAAGTCCATGGGAGTAAAAGCTATATTTGATGCAAGTTGCAGTAGAGATTTACCTTAATTGAAGCTTGTAAGGAGTTTATAGCAAGGTACCGACAAAGCCAGTCGGTCAATGAAGAAAAATGCAAATCATCCGTTCCTATGATCTCATCAGCATGCCCAGGTATACTTTTTGGTCTTTAGCTACTCTACTTAGATGATAATTGTGCAATCCACACTTTCTTTTCCAAAATATCTGTTGTGGTTGAAGATTAATCCTCTTTTCTTTTCTAGTAGCATAGAGTTAGTATGGATATTTTCTTTTCTCCTATTTAATTTGGTTGTAAATTGGTCAGTTTGGGTTGTTTTGAGAGCTATAGTTTTCAACTTGCCAAGTTTGCTGCAACTAAAAACTGACAGTGTTATAATAATAGTGCATTGTAGAGTTTGGTCGGTGAGAAATAAAATATCATTTTCAATGCCCATAGTTTTGTAATCTGAGAGAGGAGAACAGCGGAATCTCTGAATACCTAGGAAAATCCGAGTGTAAATCCCCTTGTGGGATATTAATCCGGATGAAACTTGTGCAGTTGATAATATTCATATAATTATTACAACTAAAGATTACAACTCGGTAAAATACACCAAGAAAAGGCCCTAAAAGTGACCAGATCTAGTTAACCGGATCCTTTAATTTCTTTTTATGTGTATACCGTGGGTGGCCTTTAGGGGTCCATTTTTTATAAAATTATCCTTGTCTTTGTTTATTTCTCGATTGGAACAAATTACCACAATTCGTTTCCACCTACGGATCAGGCGACATTTTACACAAATTTTCCGAATGGAGGCTCTTATTTTCATATTATGTTATAAAAAAGTATAATAAATTTAACTTAGCATAAAGGTTATTTACATGAATGCTCTAACTTTACAGCGATGTTTGGTCCTTATTTTATGTTTCTTTTTTGGTTTCGGTGATAAGGTCTTTTCATAATTACTCGCTCGGACGTATTTTAATTCATAGGAGCCCTTTCTTTGTGAGCTTCTTTTTTTTTTTTTGGTGCCTATGTTTTCTTCCATTTTTTCTGAATGAAGGTTCAAAATGCTCTAACTTTGACACTTACTTTCAACAATAAACATATCATGAACACATGGTACAAGGACGTAATCTAGAGCTTCTCTTCTCTCCCTAAAAGAAACTAAGAAAATGGCTATACATCACTATCTCATAATTACTCCCCTTCCTAATAGGTAGTTATAGGGTTTTACATTAGCACACCCTACTAATCAATTCCGTGATGTCCTTCCATTTCCGTTTCTACCCCCCACGATTAGATCTTCTCTAGTGAGTGTATGTAGGGGATGCCTATTATAACCGTTAGTGTTTTAAACGAACTCCATGAGATGCAAGTGAGAGTCCTGTGTATTTTCTATCCATGTCGTTCAATACATCTAAGAGGTCTCATAAACATTTCAAGATAACATTTTTATGTTTGCACAACCATCACAACAATCACAGAACAAACAAAATGCATGCATATCTGACTATCACTAAAGCATTTAATAAGAAAATCACTTACCTCAATCCAAATAGCGGTAAGTAGCTTGCTCCGCTCCAAATCCATTTTTAGCAAGCAAATACTTAGTCAACTCCTAGAAACAACCTAAAACAATCTTATCCAAAGTAATTTTAGTTTAAACCAGGGAAATTGAAGCAAACTGACCTTTAAATTGAACCAAACAAAAGTGGCTGACCAAATCGATCTAACTTGATCGTGCCAAACCAACCCAATCGAACTGCTAAACTTATTTGAACTGATGAACTGACCGAATCGAGTTGTTGATTTGTCCAACTGAAGCAACAGCTTCAGCGCGAACTCTAGGTCGTTTGTAACATGTTAAAGCTTGTCACCTAGTCCAATTTTCAGACTTAACTGACTGGAATTATGGTCCCATATGATTTAAAACCCTACTCCATTTATTAGATGTGTACATGGAACCAAGTTTTCATCTACATGCCTGTCATTTTCTTCAATTAGAGGATAGACGTTGATATGAGAGCTCATACCTTTTTAGTGAAATCTTGTGGAAATGTTAATGGCATGTCAAGAAATCTACAGTCAAAATGTCTATAATGAATTTCTTTACTTTTATTGTGATTTGAGGTAATTTTTACGAGTTTATTTGATTTCAATACTTTTTGGGATACCTGTTGGTATCAGTGTTTTATCAATGTTTTTATATATTTAAGACCACAATTTTCGTTCAAACTGACATTTAACTTCTTTTTCAATGTAGACCATCTTTTCTTCTCAAACCTACACCTCTTCCAATTTCAGGATGGATATGCTATGCTGAGAAGCAACATGGATCCTACATTTTGCCTTACATTTCATCAGTGAAGAGTCCTCAGCAAATGATTGGATCAATAGTCAAGCATCATATATGCCAAAAATTGGGTATTAGGTAACTACTGTATTTCTACTATTCATGATCTTTCTGATGTAGTTGTTTCGAAATTGTGGCGGTATGTGAAGCTTAGTATTTACAGTGAAGAGAAGTGCTTATATTTCGGCTTATAAAATATGGTTACTGTTGTCATGGCATGAATAGATTTACTTAGGACGGCATGGAAAGCAGAGACTATTTTGTTTGTTTCATATTGGGATTTTCTTTATATTTTATATAGCCAACTATTGGGATGGATATACGGACATGTTATATCCAACTATTCCAAGTTCTTAAACAATGCTTCCAAGTTCCTTATAGAAAGCCACTGGAGAGAGATTGTTTTTGCAATCACCGTAGCATAGTATTTGAATACTTAAGATTTCAATCATTTCTTTTTCTTTTTTGAAATCTATAGTTCATCTTTATTTGACAGATCAGATGATGTTTATCATGTTACTGTGATGCCCTGTTATGATAAGAAACTGGAGGCAGCTAGGGAGGACTTCGTTTTTCAGTTGGACTCGGTCAACAAAACTAGGGAGAATGAGGCCCCCAGAATTACAGAAGTAGATTCAGTACTGACTTCTAGTGAAGTTCTAGAATTGATACAGGTTCAATTTTGTCTCGCCTCGAAATGCTTATGTTAGTATGTCTTCAAGTTTTGGCTTCTCAGAAACATCTTCTTTCTATTTGTCGATGCTTGCAGCTGAAAGAGGTCGACTTTAAGAATCTTGAAGAATCCCCCTTGGATAGAATGTAAGACTAAAGGACTTTTTAAAGATTTTATACAGTTTAGTCACCAAATTTATCCAAGGCTGTCATGCTTGGCTATCTTTCTACAGACTGACAAATGTCAATGAAGAAGGGCATCTGTTTGGAGTTCATGGAAGTTCTGGTGGTTATGCAGAAACAATTTTTAGGCATGCTGCAAAGGTACTCTTTGGAAAAGAAATTGAAGGCCCTTTGGAATTCAAATCCATTCGAAATTCAGATTTCCAGGAGCTCACTCTAGAGGTAAATTAATATCTTTTTAAAATGTTTTTATGCATATTAAAACCCACAACATTGTAACAACTCAAGCTCACCGCTAGCATATATTGTCCTCTTTGGGCTTTCCCTCAAGGTTTTAAAACGTGTCTACTAGAGAGAAGTTTTCACACCCTTATAAGGAATGTTTCATTCTCCTCTTCAAACGATGTGGGACCTTAGCGGCATTGAGGGGTTTATCAGCAATTGAGTATTGCCAAAGTACCAAGCATTGCTGGCAAGGGGTTCAAGCATAACTTTTAAGATGATTCTTGTGTAGTTTTGTATGAAACAGATGAAAACATAAGCTCCAGCTTTGCCGGAGTTTGCTTTTCCCCCTTTTCATTCCATCATTGATCTGTAATTGTTTTTCTAATGATTCTGTATTGTTAGAATATTGGTTAATATTTAAAATTATTCCACTAGCTATGCATATTTCGAATTGCATCATTAAAACCTCTTGCAGTTTAAACCATTGTTGAAGTTAATGGGTCATATCGAATATGATTTTTTTATCCAATCTTTTTGTTTCCTCTCCTTTTAGTCCCTGTTAATGAATTGTTATCTTATGCATATGTCTGTCCAAATTGTAGGTGGAAGGGAAGACCCTATTGAAGTTTGCACTATGCTATGGATTCCGAAATCTACAAAACGTTGTCAGAAAAATAAAAACAGGAAAATGCGAGTACCATTTTCTAGAGATTATGGCCTGCCCTTCAGGTGGGTTTCTGCTTAATAATCTGAAGAAATGTGACCAAACTAAGTTATATGAATGTTAGATCTTGATCATTTAATATCATTGTTGTTAAAATAATAGGTTGTCTAAATGGAGGGGGCCAAATTAAACCCAAGCCTGGACAATCTCCAAAGGGTTTGATTGAATTATTAGAAGCTGCTTATGAGGAAAATGTAAGTACATTCATGTAGGATTTATTGTTTATCGTTTCAATACCGAATCTGGAACGTCTTTTGATAGGATCTTTTTGTTTGTTCTGGTTATAAGATGTCACATTCATATTGTTTGTCTGTAAAAGTTGTGAAGATTCACCATCCTGCGTTTGAGTTTGTATATAAATGTTGTGCCACAGGTTATAATTAGAGATCCTTTTGAGAACCCAGTGGTGAAAGACATATACAAGGAGTGGGTGGAGAAATCAGGTTCAGAGAAGGCAAAGAAGCATATGCTGCACACTGAATACCACCCAGTGGTGAAAAGCATTACTGCCCAACTCCACAACTGGTAACAAACTCCCACCTCCTATCTTACAATTTTGTGTTAGTAGATGAATCATAATCATATGCCTCATGGTTGCTGTGATAATGTCACCCGGTGCTTCTCTTCTGGAAAGGAAAGCTCAGTTTTGATAGATTTAAAAACTTTAAAAATGTAATTCTTATTGTTCTTCCACCTCACACAAGTCAGCCTCTGCTGCTCTTCATCTTGTACATCATGATCTGTATTTATGTTGTTTGAGCAAATGTGCTCTTTCTTTGTGCCACTGTGCCTATTTCTACGTAATTGTATTGGCTTAAGGTGCATCCACAAATTTGTATAAAGCATATTTTAACATGTAAATGGAGCACTTTGGTAGTTCCCTGTTGTTGGCTGATCAAATTTTTACCATTTTGCTTCATCTGACACAATTCTTGAGAACTGATTGATCTGAGTGCCAGAAGATGCTGATGTTTTCTTTAGCATTCTTTGAGCAAACACTCCACTTAAGACCCGCAAGAGGAAGTTGACATTAAATGAGTTGTGCGAGAGTGATGGCTCTGTTGAGAATTATGATGTTGAATGCAATAGACGGGCTAGATTTGCTCGAGTTTGTGAGCACAGAGAAGATGAGGATCAGTCATTTTATTGCGGGTCTTAGGGATGAGATCCAGGGTTCCGTTGTAGCCCATGCCCCTCTAGATTATGCTTCAGCCCTACTAATCTCTATTCTCATGGATATGTTTCGTTTGAGGGGCAGTTGGTCTCTCGTGAAGGTATATAGTAAAATGGTGTGAAATTCACAAGAATAAGTGTAAGTATACACTGTCATAAGTAGTAAGTAATAAGTAAATTATCGATTTCATATTGAACTTATAATTTATAGTTATTTTGTTGCTGAAAATTAAGTGAGTTTTAGGTGTCATTCAAATGTGTGTTGATAATATATGTAGAGTGACAGATACTATTGCAAAATAGAGAGTAAACGAGAAATCAATAGTAATGAGAAGGTTCGACTAGATGAGTTTAAATAGATAAGTTGTTGAACTATTGTGGTGAACTGTAACTACTTTTTAACAAATTCTCAAGTCCTCTTCTGAGGATTATTCTTAACCCTTCAATTACTGTCAAATGAATCAGATATAAGAACTCTTGGACAAGGGTTCTATTCGGCCGGTGTCTCACTGTGGAAATCTTCATTACTCTTATGTAAAGAAAAAGAATGGTTCTTTACATTTGCCGAGAGTTGAACAAGGTCACTATCAAGAACGAGTATCCCCTCTTGAGATAGATGGCTTATTTGAATAGTTGCAGGACACATCGGTGTTCTCCAAGATTGACTTGAGGTTAAGGTACCATCAGTTGAGGATTAGGGAGGAGGACATACCCTAGATAGACTTTAGGAGTCATTAGGGACATTATGAGTTTACAGTGATGTCTTTCAATCTTATCAATGCTCCCGTGTTCGTGGAGCTTATGAACGTGGTAAGTAAGGAGTATGTTGATGCCTTCGTCACTGTGTTTGATGATGACATCTTGGTGTACTCTAAGTTAAGAGCAAAGCATGAGGACCACTTGATGAAGGTTTTGTCTGTGTTGAGAGGTTATCAATTATTTGCCAATTTTTCTAAGTGTGAGTTTTGCATGAGGTGGCTTTTGTGGGTCACAGGGGGACTCACTACGAATCCAGTTAAGATAAAAGTAGTTATGAGGTGACCAAGGTCGACTATAGTCTCTAAGGTGTAGTTATGAGGTGACCAAGGTCGACTATAGTCTCTAAGGTGTGTATTTTTTTACGGTTGGCAGACTATTACAAAAGGTTCATATGACATTTCTCTAAAATATATACAGCTATGTCTCAGTTGACCAAGAAGAGCAAGCCCTTTGTTTGGACTCGGGTCTGCAAACAGAGTTTCCAAGAACTGAAGAAGAGGTTATTGACAGCACTAGTTCTCACTGTGCTTGATGCGATGGGTAATCTCGTGGTGTATAGTGAAACCTAGATAAAAGGATTGGGTTACATGGTTATGTAGAATGGAAAAGTAATTTGCCTATGCCTGTCAATAGTTAAAGGCACCAAAACAACGACGTGTTGGATTGTTGCAACCACGTAATGTACCCTAGTGGAAGTGTGAGGAAGTGAGCATGAACTTTATATTTGGCTTATCTAGAACCGTGTGGGGTTCTAATGTGATTTGAGTTATTGTGGATAGGCTCACCAAGACAACTCACCTTATTCCTAGCAACGACACATTATGTGTGGACTATTGAGCTTAGTCGTAAGTTAGAGAGATAGTCAGTCTGCATGAGGTGTCAGTATCGATCGTATCAGATTGGGACATCAAATTCACCTCTCATTTCTAGAAGAGTCGATAGAAAGCGTAGGGTATGCAACTCTATTTTAGTATAGTTTTCCACCCCTAGATAGACGAACAAACTGAGAGGTTGAATTAGATCCTTCCAAAGCCTGGAAGCTTGTGCAGTGGATTTTACAGGTTGGGGGATGAGCACCTACTCTAAACTCACCTATAATTATAGCTACCAGCAATGATGCAAATGGCTCCACTTGAGGCTTTGTATGAGCGAAAGTGTTGGACATCGATGTTTTGGGAACAAGTTGGGACACAACAGCTCATGGAGCTGAAATTAGTTACGGTTACAAACACATCAATGCAAACAGAAGATGCTGACTGCGCAAAGCCAACAGAAGAGTTATGCAAATTCTTGCAAGGATCTCAAATTTGCTGTGGGTGAGCACGTCTTCTCTAAGGTGGCCATGGGTGCTAAGGTTTGGAAAGAAGGGCAAGTCAAGTTCGAGGTTCATAGGTCCCCTTGAGATCCTCGAGTGGATAGGACCTGTGGCGTACAAGTTACCGCTGCCACCCACCCTCGCTACTATGCACAATGTGTTCATGTTTTTATGTTGCGAAAATACATCTTGGATTCTACCCACATCATAGAGCACGAGGCGCTCCCACTTCTAGAGGATCTATATTATGAAGAGATCCCTGGCAGTATTATAGCACTTGATATCAAGCGGTTGCAAAACAAGAAGATTCTGACCTTGTGAGAATCTTCTTCTAGATTATCAAATTCAAATATTAGAACCTAATATCAACAAATACATCTAGGATCTTGAAGATAATCCGAAGCCAAACACCTACAGTTTGTTCTTGGTTGTTTCTTGGTCTTGGTGGAATCTGTCGATCCAAATGCCCAGAACTACTCTCCTTAATCCAATGAGTTGCTCATTTTACACAACTACACAGTTTCAAAGCTAATCTTCCAATAAAGTGGGAATTAGAGATAATAATCACCTAATGCACACTAAAAATTCTTAAACAAAACAGTTCAATGGAAATTAGAATGTTAATTAGTAGAAGTTCGGGAACGTTAGAAATACTTATCACTTATGCATGGACTGTGAATACGAATCAATAATCTTATGAATTCTAAGTAATCAAATCCTAATTACAGATCGTTAAGTAGATTTATGGAAATAATTTCAAACAAGACACAATTAGATAATTCAAAATCAAAGTTCACAAACATATTCTATGCTAGTCATAAATACAAAACAGTTAACACTCGGACATGGATCTAAGGGTCCCCCAACTACAGCCACTCGGCCTGCACGCTTTCACCCTCAAAACCATCTATGAACCATCCTACAAACAAATAGTAGCAAAACTACTCAATAAGCACCCTCAAAACCATCTATGAACCATCCTACAAACAAATAGTAGCAAAACTACTCAATAAGCAACCTACTTATAGTCTCTCATTGCATCTTCTTCTAATTAGAATTCTCAAATTTTGTCTCATTCGGCTCATCAAGTTTCAGACCCTAAATACACCAAGTCTAAGGGGGTAAGCTCACCCACTTAGGGTTTCATAATCTACCTATTTTCACATTCGGCTTCCATCAAACTATCTGTGGATGAGTCAGGCTACCCTCATCTATCTCGGGCTCTTGGGTAGATCTAGTAGGTATGGAGAAACCCGTGCTCTCTATAGGTAGCCTCTCAGGTCACCATGTTACTCCACACATGCCTACTACTAGGCGCTAGCCGGATGCTCCCATAATGGCACCCAACAAGCTGACTATCCCTAAGCCATTCTAGATTAGAACAGTGGAAGGCAGGCTCCCCACTATGCACAACCTCAATCTCCCTTAGTAGTACCCTAAGCCATTCTAGACTAGAACAGTGGAAGGCAGGCTCCCCACTATGCACGTAAGGAGGCAACACGGAAGTCCTAAATCAAAGTTTAGAATGCCTGTATGATTGCTTAAAAAATAAAACCAATCCCAACTTTGTACAAGTTTGCCTGTTTGTACTAGTGTGCCTGTATATGGCACACTAGTACTAAAATACAACTACTTGGATGAATATTAGAACCTGATTCGGTTGCTGCTGACTAAGTCACCGCCTCCTGATTTTATGAAATGGGATATGCACCTTCAAAAGTTGAGTCTGAAATATCCTTCTAGCTGTTCATCCACTTGTTAGTGTCATCTTTAAAGAAAATATTAAGGTGTAAAGTAAAACACACAATCTTAATACTAATGGAACATTGACTCAGGCACACAGGCTACTGTGTAGATCTTAGCTTGAATGCAAAATAGTAACATTCTCAAAGAACGAGAACCATTTACTATTATTGATGAGCTTTTCAAATGTAGCATGTACACAATGGTATTACTCCCCCCTAAAGCTCTGTTGGTTCATACAGTGATAGTAGGTGACGGTAAAACAATTATGTAGAAGGATCAAGAATGTGAACTACAACTGGAAAAAAAAATGAGGTTCAGTAAAATTTATGCATAGGCTTTCCATACGTGTACTTGGCCTCGTCGGATCTTCGAGCTGTTTTTGTAGTCTTTGCTTTGTTGGAATTCTGTCTGCAATCAGAACTTTTGGACAATTTCCTGGAACATGATGTAAAACCAGATTCCATTCTGTTATGGGATAAAATTTCATCTCGCGGAGAATCATATCCCATTGCCTCAAAGTCCTGTAGGAATGAGTTCAATTAATTACATTACTGAATGAACACTCGTGAAGTGAGAAATTAATGGCAGAGATGGACAGTTATACCTTGGATTTAGTTGCATAATAGGGTGTTAGACAGGGATTCACATCCTTCAGCAAATAGTCATCTGGACGGCTAGGGGACGTTGGATCACAGGCACTGAACTCCTGAATTACATAAATGCTGGATGAGTGATTTGCATCTAGTTCATGAATTGACTGTTTAGGTAAGGCAAAGTCCTAGATGATTTTAATAATGAGGGCTCGCCTTGTTGTCTTTCTAATCTCTTATATTCAGGATTAATACATATCAACACTAAGAAGATGAACATGAGATCCAAGGATATCTTCAGTGCTTACTAAAGGGTT